TTGTCTCCTGGATGGGTCACACCATGGATCAAATCACCCTTTCCTCCCCAAGACTGCAGTAAATTCTTTCATTCCTTTCTTTCCTTTATTTTCTTCTCCAGGATCAAACTTTCAGGCCACACCAAACCCTGCTGGCTCTGCATTTACTTTTTCTGTTTTATTTCCATTTTCTTCTTTCCAAAATACTCTGCATGTTTCCTATTTTCCCTCCGTGGGGCTCACACAACTACTACATTGTAACTTGGTGGCCTGTTTCTTCTCACTCATACAAATATGTCTCCCTCCTTAATAGCCCCCTTTAAGTGATTCTAACAGCCAGTCTATCACTTTGTAATGGTCATCAAGGGAGAAAATGCACTAGTCAGGAGTTTTCAGATACATGTATTTTCAAAACACTTCACATATAAAGTCCTGTGCTCTATGTTTACAGGATGGGACGGATGTAGGTCACGGTTCAACTGAAGATGTAATTACAGCAGAAATTTTGACTCGGTGTCAATGCATGTTGATTCAACAAGCATTGCCTAAGGAATTATTTGGGCCAAGCTCTGGGAGCACAGAGGAAGAATCAGGTAAAATCTCCATTGACATTGAGCTTACAACCCAGTAGGGGAGAGACACAAGTAGACAGGCGATTGCAAAGTAGGACCAAGTGGGATGAACCAACTACATCCTGATGGAGAAAGTTTATAACCTCACTTACAGACAATTAAATTATAGAAATAGTGAGAAAACGAAAAAAAGAAAAAGATCTCGAGAGGCAGAATTAACATTGTCTTTTAAAAGAATTATAAAATATGGTGCACATAAAACTAGATTCAAGGACTGCCTAATTGATTTCCAGGGTCAAATATGAAGCATATTTTAAAATATACATTGAATTCTAAAGTCACAAACAAGATTCCACTGCTGTGGGTCAGGGCACATTAATTTGTGGTTTTTAAAAATAGGTTAAAACTCATATAAGTAAATGATTTCATCAAATTACTTCTTTGAGGCTTACTCTTATTTTTCTTTTCTATTTACTTTTCATTAGTACTGTATTTGTGTGAGGGTATGTGGATGTGTCTTTGCAAATTCACCTGAATCCTTTTGGGAATAAGATGTACATAAAGAGACAAAAAGGAAATAAATTATTTGCAGCTGACTGTGGGTGGCCACTTTGTAATCGCAAAGGCTGGCCAGTCACCTACAGGTCCCAAAAGTACAACTCACAGCCAAGTGGAGTATGAAACTTGTAACATGTTCTTTTCTTGGAGTATGTGAAAACTTTCCAATCAGAACCTGCAAAAGTGTCCTCCATGGGGTTGCGTGAAGTATTAGTCAGAAGAGTGAATAATAGTTACAAGGAGGTGGAAGGAGGCGGCAGACAGTTTTGTAGTCCAACATGGTTTAAACAACTTGGGATTCAAAGTTAAAGGATGTCTTTGCTGCTGGATTTCTTAGACTTTTTAATACGGTAATGATAACTGGCACATTCTAAGAGGGAGTTCTAGACTATGACAGATTTCCCAAACCTATCAGAGTATAGACCTTCTTATCTCCTGTAGGCCAAGAATTACACAGAACTCTCCTCAGGACCACTTGCTGGCCAGCAGAACTTCCCAGGAGAGATGCTGCTTTACCGTCAAACTTGATTGTGTTTTGGGATGCTTCCTTCAGCCTTCTGGCTAGGGGATTGCTCCTGCCCCTAGACCCCTAAGACAAGAAGTAGACGGCCAGCTTCCAAGGGGTCTTCCCCCAGTTCCCAAGAGATTGAGTCATGAAGGCACTGGAGTGGACCCCTCAGTCCCCTCACCTCCCCATGCCAATAGGGATCAGGTGGGTTGTGGTGCTAAGAGGTGGAACCCTGAGTGTTCCTTGATCAGGTTATCATGACATCCGTGTGGATGATAACTGAGCCACATGAATATGATACCCACCTCCTTTGTTAAAGGGTGATGCTAAGATCATTGTCACCATGGCAACACTGTTTAGAGGGCAATTTTCTGTACACTTAATCTTTACTATGGACCTTAAGTGTAAATTACAGATTTGAAATTTACTAAACAAGACGAGGTGTTGAAAATAAAGCAGCATTGTACTGTGACACTGTTGGCGTTGGAATAATTTCCTCTATACCTACACAGTTAGTGTCATTATTAACGTTATGGCTAAATACGCACCCATGCTCGCTGCCTTTGTTAGTTGCATATCTATGTCTGCATGTGATGTAGCTCACTATCGGTTTATACATAAATTCTTTCCATGGACTTTTGAAAATAGGATGAGGACAGGGCAGGTTCTCATTCCTCAGTACTTAGAGAATTCTTAATAAAGGAGCCAGGTGCTCCTGGGCTCATATGTATATATTTTTAACTTGTAGCAGGTATGTGGGGATAGGATTTGTAGGAAAAGTAGAGATGATGTCAAATTTCATGATGTTTCAAAGCAAATGATAGGCTTCTCAAATGTGTTCTTGGAAGTTAGGGCTAGACAAAGGGGTAACTCAGGAAGTAAGAAAGCCAGATTCATTCGGGGAGCCAACCTTGCATTCTTTGGCAGGAGACTAGGATGAGGAAGATACCAATCTGCAATATTTGAAGACGTAAAATTCACCGAGTGAGAGCATTATTCGGCCTGGCAGGCATGAATTTAGCCAGCATTCATACTGAGAAATGATACTGATAACTGCGATTGGAGCTGGAAACCACACTCATAGAAATAGAAGAGGCTGTCCCTTGCCAGACACATAGATATTTCGCTGGGCAAGGCCTCAAGCCTATTAAAAGAGAAGTGTGTTCTTTATGCCTTTAATATCTTTCTAGGTTCTAGGCCCACGACTAGCGCAAAGTTCTTCTGTTTTTAACTTGAGGACTTTTCAAATGGAAAAAGTGCACCATGAATTTCAATTCCCACATACTCAGCTGTAGGAGTTTTGATAGCATCTTACCATTAGCATCTTACCACTGGGTAGTTATAACCTAACGTTTTTGACCACAGTACAGCATTGTGCCAGTGAAATGAGAAATGTTCTAGGTATCACCCACATCAGTCTTCCATATATCACCAATCATTAGATGTATATAAGCACAATTATTTGATATTTTCACTTATCAGTTTTCAGAGTTACTTAGAGGGCAACCAGCAGCTAAAATTTACATAAATTAATTCAACCATTCCTGCAGGAAACAAGTATTGGGCCTTTATTACGTAGGACACAGAGTGGATTTGTCATGAAGCTAATGGAATGCAAGCTTCAGGGCTCCTCCCTTGTACCAACCTTCTCCAAAGGTTTGTACCTAATTTTACAGTCATAATTTTGCATTCCTTTTCCTTAAAGAGGGCTCTCAAAATTGTATAATCTCCAAGCTCCATAAAATCTTGATCAGCCTCTGGTCCCGGCACTAGAGAAAACTCACAAGAAGTTCATAGTTATCAGCCCCACAGCAGGGCAACTTCGGCTGAAACAGGATGTGGATTGAAACCCAAACCCAAACCTGGGCCCTGAGAACTGGATCCTTTTCTGCAGAGCTCCTCCTCTGAGCCACCTCTTTTGTATTCATTCCGATGGCCCTGACAGTGACTGAGGGCTAGAGTGATTTGTAATCCCAGGGTCACAGTCAGGCCACGGATGTCACTTCCCTGAACTCGGAACCCTGAATGGGAGCCTAAGTAGCCAATGCTGCCATGTGGCTACAGATCAGCCAACCATGGAAGGAACTGCTTGCTTTGTTTAATGTGGATCAATACACTTCTAGATTGCTCTGAATCTGAGCTGTGGGGTCATGCGGAAGAACAAAACAAAACTGTGCTTATTCTATTGCTAATTCCTTTCAACGGCTCCTCTGGGTCCTCAGCCCCCAGGCGACACAGGCATGCTCTTCTGCTTCACTGTTTCCTATGGACAGGTGTGTTCCTACGGACAAGTGTGTTTTGTCCTTCTCGTGTATCTTCTGATTCTATGAGCCTGGTCAGGCAACCCTAGTTCATCTTCAGATATGACTGAAATATCTGGAATTCTGTGTTATAGAATTTTAGGTGTGGGACCACAGACTATTCTGGAATTAGGCCAGGTGTGAATTTCTAAAGTCCAATTGGGTTGCAGTGACTATTGGCTTATGAATCCTTTCACCAGATAAGTCACGGTACCAAATGAAGGGAAGGCAGGTATACAGACCCCTCACAAGCTCTGACCTTTGTTTATGAGAAAAGCAGAAATGTTTTTAGTTAAAAAGCCCTGGGAATACAGTGGGAATTTCTACGTGGACTCAGCTGCATTGTGAGCAGAGGTGCCCACATTGCTGTCTGCATTAGCCCAAGGAGCATTTTGCAGGGAGGGCAGATTTTCAGATTTGTCTTTCTTGCTTTGTCTTCTACCAGGAACGTCTATATGCTCATTTTTTTCCCCTTTTATCTTAACAAAGTAATGCTTAGCAAATAAAACTTCTTTCCCAGAACCTTCAATTTCAGATTTTGAGTTATTTTCTTTTCTCTCAATTTTCCATTTCAAGGTGGGGAAGTGGGCTGCCCTTAGTTCCTTTAGCTGTGGGAAGGTTTGGCACTTCTGGAGCTGCTCTTTCTGGCCACAGAGTGCTTTCTCTGTCTGTAAAACTGGCAGCAGGAGGCCACCTGAGCGGCAGCAAAGAGCCAGGTGTTTGGGGTCAGATCCGCCCCCTTCCATGGCACTGCATCCTTGAGGGGCACAGAGCAAGCCCCCCCCACATCCACCTTGGATCGCTTTGCTCCTCTGTTCTCCCCGTACCCAGCCCGGCCACACCAGTTGCACCCAAGCCCCACTCCCAAGGTGCGTCTACAAGATGAAGGTGAAGGGCAGGAGACAGGAGAATAAAGAATCACCCCTGTCTGATATGCATCTTTCACATACCCTTTAATAAGCAACACACTCTTCTTTGCGAGCATGAAAGCTAACATTAACTCTGGCCATAGCTTTCTGACTATTTTTGGAGCAGAATTCTTTTTAGTTAAAAGAAGAATTGAAACAGCACAATTGGAGATACCTGATTTACTCTGGCGTGAAGTGCTTGAATGGTTGCAGGGGAGAAGACGGTAGCTGAATTCCTTACAGAGTAAAGGCTGAAAGGCATGACTAGGGAGCTTTATATGCCTTAAACAAGCCTTCCCAGGAGCTTGTCATCAGCAGCTCTAGCATGCTTACGGTTCATTCTGCAGACTCCTGTGCTGGTCCTAAGATTCTGATGCGTCCACCAGGCAAATACTCTCCGCAAACATCCCTGGACTCTGAAGCAGAGTCAGGAAGGAAGTCAGTGGGCTGCCCCGCGTCTCTGACAGATGAGAGGGGGTGTGGCAGGAAAGGAGATTTCAAATGCTTGACATTTAGTGATTAAGTCCGAAAATGTTTGTCTTTGATGCCTAAAGCCACACATTGGTGGCTCTTCTTGTACAAAGCACGTTGTCATTCAGGTACATAATTACACACACACACACCCCCAAACCAGAAAGTTCAGCCCTTTTAAGATTTCCTTCACACAAGGGCAGAGCGAGAGTAGAAGGATCCAGCAGACCTGCTTCTCTCAGCTCTTCGGGACCGCGGGCATGGGAAGCCTGGGGTCTCACTCTGTCTCTTTTCCCCCAAACACGGGGCTGTCTGCACTGGTTCTAAGTGTCAGGAGAGGAAATTGGGGAAATAGCACTTTCCGTAAAATGACCACAACGGTTGATGAGAGGAAGGAGTGATGAGAGTGTGGGAGGAGTTTTTAAAACTGTGTTTTCCTTAAGCAACCAGAATCGCCAAATTTAGCTAAGTCTATTTCTAGAAAACCCCCAAACTACTTAGACATTTACTTAATTCAGTGAGGACCTGTCAGCCCCGTTATTTGATTAGTGTTTCTGAGATATGACTGGTGATTTGGTGAAACTCTTCTACTCTCCAGACGTTTGCAAAGACCAGTCATATGACCTCTGGGTTGCTCCCTGCCTGGCCATTTACTGTATTTATCACTAGGGAAGGAAGAAAACTGCTAAAAAAAAAAAAACAAAAAAAAACACCTGGGGAAAACAGTGCTGAGGGCACACGTGTGTAAGGTAAGCACTTGGTTGTCATAAAATGATGGCATTTAAAAATGCATGATAGTTGTATTTGACTCTTCTCTTTTGATTTTTAGGACAATTTTAAATTGAAAGAATTTATCACCTAAGGCTATCGTAGATCATTACATATTTATTTTAACATTTATGAGAGAGGACAGAATGGAATAGGATCTAGGATTAGCCGTTGTGTGTGTGTGAGTGTGATTTTGAGGTTTCAAAAAAAGAACTTCAAGAATCACTTGTAATATTTTTTTCAAAATCCTTCCTTTAGATAAACAAACAAACAAAAAGATTAAGATATTTTCTGATGAGAAGAAATAAATCTAAAGATTTGAATTGAGTAGGACTAATTTTGGTCTTTCATTTTGCCAAGTTGAACATCGTATTTGTTGTAAGTTTCCTAACCTGTGACTTAAAGAAATCATGAGGTCAAGAGATTTCTGTTGAACAGCACATTCTTATTTCCTTCAGGCAACTCAATGCGGAAGTGCAGAGAAGATAAAAAAACTAGCTTCACAGGAACAATGTGGAAATTTCACCCAGTATAACATTGATTAGCTGAGAACCGTCTAAACCCCCATGAAATTATACACAGGTTATAAAACGCATTAGCCATGGGTTGTGAACCAGGTTCCTAATGTTTCCAAAGTCAGAATTGTTTACATTCCTTATACCTACCACAGAAAACTTACATTACTTTTTTCTTATAAGGATAGGTAACAGATTTTAAAATTTTCCGGCGAGGTTTCGCCTTACGCCAAGCTAAACTGATTTCTCCGCCGACTAAGGAAAATAACTGCTGAAGAACGATGCAAAAAACCCATGTAATCACTAAAAATCAATAACAAACTTGCTCTCACAGACACTAGGAGAAAAAAACACTTGCAAACAGAGTAATTCTTCTCCCTCCATCTAGATCACTTACACCCACAGCAAACAAGACAACATCTGGTTATTGTTTTACAGGCATGAATAAAGCCTTTTTTTTTTTCTTGCCCCATCATTAAGTAAAAGCCCGTTTTCCACAGGCAAACAGCACTTGTAAATTCCCCCAGATAAGCCTGGAAGTCTTGAAGGATTTAAGTCAGTTTCAAAAGAATCGCAACATTTTCATTACCTTTGGAAGGAAAGTTTTTCAGAAATCCCTCCAGCGAGCAGCATGTTCCAGAATTGACCTAAGCCTGTGCCTCTTACCTGCGAGGACTGGTGAATGCAGGCGCCTGGTTAGATGCGAGGTTATGAAAAGGCGAGGAGATGAGTCCTCCACGCAGGTCGCCTTGGGAAGCCTAGGTCTTCAGGTTCTCTCAGAATGGAGAAAACGCTCTCGCTGTGCACTGTCAGTCAAAAACAAGTTGGTACAAGTCGGAGTAGAATTTACCTGAAGGAACTGAAGAGAGAAAGAAAGAGATTGGGAGAGATTGGGCGGAGGGAGGGGGGAACGGGAAAGGAGGGGGGGAGGGAGGGAGGGAGGGAGGGAAGGAGAGAAAGTGAGAGAGAGAGAGAGAGGAATCTGAGAAAGGAGACCACGATGTCAGCAGTGTGTCTTAAGGGAATCTACAAACTGGCAAAATATTCTGATGGACACCCAGTCCTGAGCTCTCCAAACACCTGCATAAAAAAAAAAACTAATGCCCTTTTAAACAATGCCAGTTAATCTTTAAGAAACTTTGGCCACTCTTATCACAGCCTTTATAAAGATCCCTTTGCGGAAATAAACTATAAATAAATAACCAGATTATACTTTTTAACAAGCTCTCCTTCACCTCCTGTTCTCTCCTCCTCTTCCCTCTCCCCACTCCAGGTGAATATTAACAAAAATCCTTCCTCCTGGGAAAATCGGGATGAACCCATATAGATAATGCATATATCAAATATACGTATAAGCAAACATGGCAGATGGACACTCTATGTTTTTAATTCAATCTCCTTCTGGCTGTATTGATTTGTTTCTATAGCCTTTGTTTTCCCTGATCAAAAAACATAAAAAGGTGGAAAGATATGGGTAAAATCGAGTTCTTCCACAGCATGGAAATTGGGAATGAGATTCCATGTTGGAATCATCCCAGCGTTGGTCCACAGAGTCTAGCACTTTTATGAGAAATGGTCCGAATTCAGGAATGCATTTGTGTGTCCTTCCTACACCAAGCAGTTTCTTGCAGCCATCATGCCAAGGGACGCCAGTCCACAGCCCTTGCCTGTCACCAGCTGTCCTGTGGCCAGAGTAGACCCTGGTAAACCCTAAGGGAGAAGATGCCCACAGGCACTTTCCCTAATGAGATCCCCTGCACTGGTCCAGAGGCAATACCTTGGTGGGAAGCAAAGACCCTCTGTCACCATGGAGATGATGACACACTCACACAGTCTCTTACACAGACACCTGGGCAGGGCCAGGGTGCTGCAGCTGCTTCACATTGGAGGGAACAGGGAGTGAGTTGATTTGTTGGAAGAAAATGATATGTCTGCTTTCCTGAGTTTTGGGTTCCACACGCCTGTGCATCTCCTCTCCTTGACCCTGGGTTCAGCTGCATCTGTTCTGGGGCCTTGAACTAATTGAAGGCAGGAAAGCCTGAGGAGTTATTCTGCTTTGGCAGGGCGGGGGAAGGTCTGAGACCTCCCCATTTTCTCCTACTTCCTCCCTTGATCCCAAGCCCAGGTATAAATCATCCCCTGCCCCTGATTCCCCAGTGGGAACATGCACCTGTCCCCATCCTTTTGTCCTTTTCCTTCCCATGAAGCAATGTTTTCCTCTTCTGCTGGAAAGAGTGCAGTGGCCTCTGAGAGAAGACCTTGGGCTCCCAGAGGCTCAGGACTTGAAGAAGCCACGTAGGTCCAGACCTCTTCAAGCTGGTTGTCTTCCTCCAGATCCATAAAATCAGATAGATCTCATGGGAGGGAAGGTATTATAAAAGTCCATATAAAACAGGTAAACACAGAGATGGAGAAAAACAAAAAAGGGGAAATGCAGCATTCAAGATCTGACCATATCCCACCCCAGATGATTTGCACAAGCTGTTCCCTCTGCCTGGAATGTTTTTCTTCAGATCTTCATTCACCTGCTCAACCCCTTATCACCGTTCAGGTTTAGCCCAAATGTTACCTCTTCATCTCCCGTGGTTCCAATCCAACTCTGTACCTCAACTCTCCCTCTCACTTTGTATATCACTTAGCACTGTCTAAATTGTCCTCTTTATCATTTACTGTCTGTGCTCCTTTTCAGAGCTCTACCACGCCTGTCTGGCTTACTACATGTTCCTGGAGGGACACCTGACACATCATAGACCCTTAAAAAATTGTCAAGAAGGGCTTCCCTGGTGGCGCAGAGGTTGAGAGTCCGCCTGCCGATGCAGGGGACACAGGTTCGTGCCCCGGTCCGGGAAGATCCCACATGCTGTGGAGCGGCTGCACCCATGAGCCATGGCCACTGAGCCTGCGCGTCCGGAGCCTGTGAACCGAAACAAGAGAGGCCAAAAAAGTGAGAGGCCCCCAAAATGAAAAAAAAAAAAAAAAAAAAAAAATTGTCAAGAAGATCGATGAACGATTATAAATGGATGGTATGACTTGTTACAAGTGAACTTTAATTCTTATTTTTAATGCATATTTTTCCCATTTCAGTTTTTATTAGTAAACTAACATTTGAATGTTCTTTCTCAATTTATAAATCTCTTTCAGAAATGTGATTAATTGGATGCTCAGACCCAAAGGCATAATTAGTTGCATTTTAAGGGTGGGGAAGTGGAAGCCAGAGACGCTGAGTGATTTTCTCAGAGTCACAGAGCTAGAGAGAGGTGGGCTGAGGCTTGAAACAGCTCTTCTCACACTCAGTCCATGCATTTTTCATTAGGCTCCATTTTTCTCAAATTGGTCTACTGTGGGCATACATGTGCATGTGTAGATTCCTTTGAGTATCAAGCAACACACCGCATGAATTATAATCACAGACTAACCACCTGGCAAGCTGCAGTTCTCACAGGGCCGTACACAGCAGAGCTCGGGCTCATTCATCACACAGTCTTTACAAATGATGAAAGAAGAAAGTGAGTCCAAAGTAGTATGAACACACGAACTAATTTAAATGTGAAGACAATACTCTCAGAGAAGACCATAATTCAAAAGGGCACATGCACCCCAATGTTCACTGCAGCACTATTTACAATAGCCAGGTCACGGGAGTAACCTAAACGCCTGTTGGCGGATGAATGGATAAAGATGTTGTGGTACATATATACAATGGAATATTACTCAGCCATAAAAAAGAACGCAACTGGGTCCTTTGTAGAGATGTGGATGGACCTAGAGACTGTCATACAGAGTGAAGTAAGTCAGAAAAAGGAAAACAAATGTCAAATATTAATGCATATATGTGGAATCTAGAAAAATGGTAGAGATGAACCTGTGTGCAAGGTAGAAATAGAGACATAGATGTAGAGAACAAACGTATGGACACCAAGGGGGGACGCGGGGGCAGGGTGGTGGCAGGATGAATTTGGAGATTGGGATTGACATGTATACACTAATATGTATAAAATAGATTAATAAGAACCTGCTGTATAAAAATAAATTAATTAAATTAATTAAAAAAAACATAAAGGAGGCAACTTTCACACACACACACACACACAAAAGACAATATACTCTTCTCACTTTGGTAATGTTAACCTGTTTTTGTTCTTTTTCATTTGAGGATATATCAGTAATCAGACGGTATTTTAGATCTGACAGAATTCGCAAAAGAAGGTAAGGCATTATAAACACATGATTAAAGATTTGAGAGGTGAGTGGGAAAATTCTAGAATCAGCATCCATGAGATTTCTGCCACAGGGGACAGATTTTATGCTGCATGTTTTAATAACTGGATGATCCATGTAAGTATTTCTGGAAATTTCTGAGGGTAAATGAGGGGAATAAGGCAAACTATTAATCTTGACAAAACATTTTTTGTCACCCCATCTCCCTCCCATCCAGTGAGCAAAAGATTTCTCACATTCTAGTTCTAAGGCTTAGATTCTGCAATCTACCATATAAAATTTCTTCAAAGAACACGGCTAATCATTTTGTAATGGAAGATGGTCAGTGTTATTGATCTTTTAGCCTAATATAAAAAAATAACATGAATCACTGCTCAGTAAATCATCTTTCTCTCTTTCTTCCCACTTAACTGAAAGCAAGACTCTTGTAAGTGTCAAATTTGAAAAGAATATACATCTAAAGTCTGGATTTTTAATCAAAGTTCTAAAAAGATGTTTGAAAACTGGGCAGAAGAGATCACAAGAGCCAGCTTTTTTGAAAGAACCATTTCCTGAGAATAATTTCCTAAAAAGAAAAAAAAACAACAAAAAAACAGGCTGTTTTGCTTCCAATTTTCATCTTGGCTTGAATCGAGACATTAAAAACCTTGAAGTGTGATGAGAGGAAAAAATACACATTTTTACCTTTGACTACATCTATTTAAGTTGGGTTAGATATGGAACTATTTATGGAGGGTTATGTCAGTTTTTAAAGCTTCTCGAAACCTCCAATGGCCCCAGCCGCTTAAAGCATCGTCCACGGGCTAGGCAAGATTTGGGCAGTTGTCTCCAGTTTGCCTCCACAATCCCCATCAGAGGTTTGTAAAATGTCCTCTTGGAAGGTAAGTGAGCCGTGGAGGATGAAGGATGTCCATTTCAATCATTTCAAGACTCTGCAGGCCAGAGGTGGGGACCTGCTTGCCTTTGGCCTTTTCCAGTGAGAAGCTTGTCTTAGAAAACCATCAGGTTGGAATCCTGTCTTGAAGTAGGCACTCTAGAAACAGATGTTGAGACAAGGTTGCACATGCAATTTATTAAAGAAGGATTCCTCTGGGTGGGGGAAGCCAGCTGGGGGAAGGGAAGAAGTCAAGTGAGGGTGAGATTTCAGGCCAAGGCCAGTTCCCTGCCTGATTCTGGAGGGAGTTCTGGAGTGAAAGTAGTAAGGGTACTGGGTACTAGGTGATGAGGTAATGGGGGTTTCATGCTCTTGCCCCAGTCAGCCTTTGCTAGGAGTAGGAGTGGCAGGGCATGCAATCTCCCAAGTGCTCTGGCTTTCCTGAATCTGCAAAGAAAAGGCTCCCATGGTCCAAGGGCAGGCTTACACAGATGGCAGTAGGAGCTCCATGCCATCAGAAGTAATACACACAAAAGTGTAGGAATGGGCACCCATGAGCAGTGAAGGAGATCCAAGAGGATCTGGGCAGACAACCAACCACATTGGCTAAAATCGCTAATCCTGTGAATGCTGGAATGATTCTCTTCCACTGGTACAGCTACTCCCCCTTACCATGGCCCCCTCACTCCCTCACCATCTCCCACCTTCCTCCTCCACTACAGCAAGTTACTAGCCAAAATAAAATTGGGGATCTCAGACTAACTCTGGAATTTGATTTAAGATGCACATAGCCTTCCTGTGCACATGGTCAGTTACTCAAAGTGCCAGGAGGACCCCAGCAGGGCCTTCTATTACTAATAGAAGCCTTTATTATGGATATCACGTTGATTTAATTTGATTGGTAACTACATTGGGTGCCTTCTCTTTGCTACAATCTCTGCACTGGGGTAAATTACAGTTCAGCAGAAAGATGGGCATAGCTGACTGCAATGCAGTGTCATTAAGTGCTATATAATCAAAATAGTCTAGAAGCCCATAGGAAGGGCAGTGAACTCTGCCTGGGAGTTCAAAGGTCAGCTTCCAGAAAAGGGAACAGTTAAGTTCAACTGACAAGATTTCCATAGGTGGAGCCAAAGAAGAGTTGTGCACATTCCAGGAAAAAGAAACAGAACAAATAATGGTAAAGAGTAAAATAGCCAAGAGAGCTGAAGCTTAACGATAGTGGAGCCTGACAGTGCAGCTCTACCCTTAGACTCCCAGAGTTTAGACAGCATGAATCAAGAAAAGTGCTTCGGGGCTTCCCTGGTGGCACAGTGGTTGAGAGTCTGCCTGCCAATGCAGGGGACACGGGTTTGTGCCCCAGTCCGGGAAGATCCCACATGCCACGGAGCAGCTGGGCCCGTGAGCCATGGCCCCTGAGCCTGCGCGTCCGGAACCTGTGCTCCGCAACGGGAGAGGCCACAGCAGTGAGAGGGCCCGAATACCGCAAAATAGAAAAAGAAAAAAAAAGAAAAATACTTCGGTTACATTACCGTTAAGGGGGTTTCATTAAGTAGGAACGAATATAGGTCAAATTTGACTTAGTATGGCCGCATGGGATAGAAAGTTACACGACTTTGAAGAACATCAGAACACTAAAAGCCACATTTTGTTTGCTAACATTAACATTTTTTGAATATCATTCATTTTTAAACTGAGAAATCAGAACCCAAATGTGTTCTCTCTCATGTCTGCCTTCCGTTCAGACTTTGAAGTCACCAAGCAGAAATTAGCTTGTCTTCAAATTTCATTTCATCAAGGTAAATCACCAGCTCTCCACACCACCCCCATATGTATAAGTGGCTCCTCTCCCCTCGGCAACCTCACCTCTCCCACCTGACAGCTTTCTCCCACTCAGCATCTCCTCGGCATGTCTGGGCTCTGAGGGAGAAGGAAACTTTCATGAATGGCTATGTTCCAGAAAGCGAGCAATAAGAAGAATCACAAAGGCTTAGTTAGAGCTTGAAGGAGCCTAGAAATCACCCTGTTCAGTTTCGTAATGTTTCTCTTTAAGACACTGAAAACCAGAGAGTGACTTTCACAGCGTCTACAGAGCCTGGAACCCAAAACTCTACGTCGACATCTCCTGAAAGGTTCTCGTACACTTTACTGTGCTCTGCTAAGCTAGTCCCTACGTTGACACATGTGTGTGTACCCATATCATTTTCAAGTGCCAGAAACCTATGTAAAAGTTTGCATTGCTGTAAAAAGAGCTGTGAGTATCAGTGTGGGGCTTTCAGGATGTGACAGCAAGCTACCTGACTGTCTCACTCTCTCCCCCAGGTTTGGCTGATGGACTTCAGCCAATGAAGTTTTAGTAGAACAGCAAAAATAATTACTCCAAAGCCTCAGGCGTGAGAAGCCCTCTTAGTGGTTACTACGCCAGATTAGGTGAGAAACAGAAGAGTGTCCCCAGGCGTTGAACCCAAAGTAGAAGCACAGCCCTCCTTTGCTTTTGGTGGTTGAGTGGCTGATCATTGAAGGTACTTGGAACATCTCTGAAGACTCTGAGGGCTCACGCCCAGGACATTTTCATTTTTCCTGGTGAAGATGCTGATGGGTTCTAGCATTCCTTCCCTCTTTGCTCACCCTTCCCATAGCATGTCATGTGGTCAAAACATCATCCCTGCTGTGTTAACTTCTTCCTGCTGTCAGCTTGCCTCGACCCAGAACTCAAAGGCCACTTAATGTTTTTCCTGACTGAAGGTTCAGATACGTAAGTGTGTGCCCCTCTCCTGTTAGACAGAATCATGACCACAGATGCCTAGTTTTAGGGCATTATTTAGGGTGAGGAATCTGGCTGTTCTGTGTTCTGTGAAAGATCTGAGAGATTTTAAAATTATCGACAACAAATTCTGACCAGGAGCTTAAGAAGCCAACTATTTACGTCACAGGGGCCACTGCTGAACACATAAGGCCAGGTAACTATCTTCCTAGGATCCTAATAGAAAAGCTGGCCTTATGGGTGAGCTGGCTTTTAAAAGTTTCCCAGCCCTTGTGGCAAGGCCAGTTATTCCTGTTGGGCTGAAGGAAGATCTCTTGCAAAGAACAGGTGAATGCCCCTGACTGAATTAGTCAAAAGTGCATATTCTCTTGAACTTGTTTCCATCTATTGGTTTCTAAACCAGCTCCTATAAGACAAAGCCCTCAGGCTCTAGCTGGCAGGTCATCTGCCTGTGGACTCTTCCAGCAGGTCCCCAAGTACCTGTCTCCTCTTGCCCCTCGGGGTTCCCAGGCTATCTCCTGCTGGAGGTTTCTCAACCTTTCTGCCACTATTCCCAACTAAAAAGAATTCCTCCTCTGGAAAACAGTGAGGCTGTTTTAGGGTTTTTTCACATTCTTCTTCAATGGGATGGCACAAAAAATTATCCCCAAATGGAAGAGTAACTTAATAGAAGTGTTACCTCCAAATGATTCCTCTGTAGGGTGATGAGCCGGCCTGGTTTTCCCGTGACTGCCCCAGTGTTAGCTCTGAAAGTCTTGTGTCCTGGGACATCACTTGGTCCTAGACAAACTGTGACGGTTGGTCACCCTACTTCTTTGTCTCCAGCTCTTTTGTAGGCAACTGTCAAATTTTAACACTTAAAACATTTTTGTTTAATTTTTAAGTGTGAATATAGGCATGATTTCCTAATTTGTTAGCACCAACTGGACATTTGTTAGGGCGTATGTAAAATCCGATTTTGTCAAATGGGAAGATGTATACTTAAAAAGTTAGACGCAGGAAATGCTCAACACTCTGTACAGAGGCTGGTCACCTTCCTTTAAACCTCCCCTAAAGTTTGTTAGCAATTTCAGGTCCTCACCCACAGAGTGGCTTGGGAGTCGGTGAGTTGCAAAGCACCACTGACATTAATTCAATGGTGATCCAGCTTCCTCTTGCCTCATTCAAATTGGACGTCGTTGCTTTAGCTGTTGTTGGTGCAACATTACACTGAATGTTAATACACGCATTTTGTTCCTGGTTCACTTCAGACCCACCTTACTAAGTGATCTGTTCTGTGGCAATTTCCATCAATGAAATGATAATGACTTTTTTGCTGTTGACAACATGGCTGGTAAATAAGAATGCAACACCTACAGGGTAGCTTCCATCTTCAGGCTACTGCATCTAGAATGATCCTACCTTCCTTACAAAGCCTAACTGACTGATAAACAATATCAGTTTATCAGTATCAGTTTATCAATATCAATATCACCGTATCATTCATATGGCCACATGTCACCTGCTGGCTTGAATTAAGTCACCTCTTCTATTTCTGTCTTATTGTTGTTAACTCTGAATCAACTATACGGGTGATCTTCTATGCCAGACAGTGAGATGTCTGTGCATGGACCCCATCTCCATCAGGTGGCCAAGTACAGTATTTTACACAAGGTAGATTGAGTCTGAAACTCAATCTCAATTCAAAACTCAGAGTCACATTTAGACTATTTAAAATACAATAGAGTCGATATATGTATATGTATAACTGACTCACTTTGCTGTACACCTGAAACTAACACAGCATTGTAAATCAACGATACTCCAATAAAAATTTAAAATAAAATAAAATAAAATAGGACAGAAAATGCTATTATCACCCCAAATAATTTCTGTGAATAATTGAGCAACACAAAAGTAGTGAAATATTCTACCTTTTCTCTTGGTTTTCATATTTTAGCGCTTTGTCCTTGGTTAGATATAAGCTACATACTTCAGCTTTAAAAAATCATCCAGTTGGGCTTCCCTGGTGGCGCAGTGGTTGAGAGTCTGCCTGCCGATGCAGGGGACACGGGTTCATGTCCCAGAGCAGCTGGGCCCGTGAGCCATGGCCGCTGAGCCTGCGCGTCCGGAGCCTGTGCTCTACAACAGGAGAGGCCACAACAGTGAGAGGCCCGTGTACCGCAAAAAAAAAAAAATCAACCAGTTAATGGAATATTTTTCTTCTTGGGTTGGAGATATCAAGGTATAGGCAACATGTTTGATTTTATCTGATGGACACAGGCATTATCCTTCATCACCAAATTCAATCAAACTGTCTCCTTCTTACAGGTTTCATTGTTCTGACATTTCTTGCCATAACATTTTGGATCCTGAGCACACGTAAAGCCTCTTTCCCACTTTTCCCAAGTTCAGTCCCTGGCCTCTGGCATAGCCCATTGGATGCACCTTGTGTGTCTTCTGGCTCTTTATTTGGTTTAGCATTTAGTGATATTATTATACCGTAAATCTTTCATTTATAACTTCCTGAATCACTTCTCTATGAATCCACAGTTTCTATCTCTGATAACCATAAAGAAGAAAGTAATTAAAACCCTGATTCTCCATCAGTACCTCTATTCCTACATGATGTAAATGCAGGAGAGCCCAGGAGAATTCTCAGGACTTATTTTAGGTGTTTATTATTAGCAGAACCGGGTAAACAACTAGAATTTTACTTTGGGATCCTTCCCACTGCAAAATTGTACCTTTTTGCCAAACCTTCTAGTTATTGTGGGAAAACTGAGCAATGCAAATTGTCTAAATTCATACAGTGAAGATCCCAGCCGAGTTGTCATAAACTCTAAATGACTTCATCCTGAAGAAGTAGTCTGGGTATGGAAAGACGGTGATGGGCACTCAAAATCTCAGCTCCAAACCCCATTGAATCCTGAGCTCCCTCAGCCAAGTACAGGTGCTAATTGAGCAAACACTGCCTGGAGAAGTTGTAGCTTTACCCAAGGCTACACAAATTGGTTAAAGAAAAAAATGACCTCGAAGAGAAAGCTGTCCACAGTCATTCTTGTTCTAGCATCGTGCTTCAACTTATCAAGTGCGCTTGTAGAGACAGCTGAGTCACCAGCAGAACAAAGAGATGATAAAGAATGCCAATAAAAGGATACTTTTTTCCTTATTGTTCTCCTTGATGGTCCAACTTGAAGAATAGAAGCTGGAGATGTAGGAGGCCAGGTTGGGCTCCTGAAACCAAAGTGATACAGATTCAACTTCCTTGATGTTTGACACCTACACAGACTGGAAAAGGAGTGACTGGATTTTCTTTACTCCTCCTTTAAGAAATATTCCTAAGGTTTTTGTACCTTCTTGCATTTATTTTTTATCACATGCTGAAGAATAGTTTCTGTACCTGTCATTTGCTCTGTCCCACCAGCTTGGGTTTTCCATTGTGGTCACCCGAACCCAGAGTGAGTATTGACTTATGACTCTCTCTTCTTCAAACGACTTTCATTGGTGAACTTCTAATCCCTGCAAACTTGCCTTCGCTCACTTCTCTTCTGAAATCTGTGTGTACTTAACAAGCAGCAGTAATTGCAAAAGCACAGTGTTGCTGTTTATCAGTCAGTAACTACCGCTTATCACACAGTGAAGCATGCACACCAACAAGAGTGCTTGGATTATCAGCTTAGACTCATGGCAATCTCTTGGCAAACATTGTCATGTTTTGTTTTTCAAATTGCTTAATGGTATATCTGACCTTATGAGTCAACTGTCACTTTATCCTTGCCTCAGACACAGAATTGTTATACTATTTCTTTCTGGCAAGCAGTACAGTATAATGGGGGTAAAAGTATAGGTTTAGTCTCAGGTAGGCATGGATTTAATTCTAGAATGGCTACGTACTAACACAAATGCATGACCTGGGGCAAGTTCATTGATGAACTGGATTTTGCACTAGTGAACTTAGGAAAACAAGTATACCTTCCAGGGTTCTAATGCAACACAGATGAGGGTGAGTGTAGAAAGGGTCTGGCCCCATGAGGGGTACTATCAGAGGGCTTTAGGGAGTGGAGTTCCACAGTGAAGGTGGCCAGTGTCTAGACACTCTTCCTGCCCACTGTGGTCTGCCACTGTGACAGGATACTCACTTGTCTTGTCTCAACTTTCATCCAAAAATGGTCATATGAAAATTCCTGCTCTGACACTGAGATTCTCCTGTCTTCTTCTGGGCTTGAATTGTAAGACAGGTAAACTGGGTATTCCTGTTCCTTTAAGATCTGCTGTTTTCACTAGTCCTTCTGCAGAGACCCTGAGCTGGCTTAAAATACCTTAAATGATTTGCATTCCCTAGAAGCCCTACTGCTTCTTCCAAGGGAAGCCTGTAGGTAGGAGAGCTTTCTGAGTCCTACTCTATTTCTTTTATCACAAACCACTTGAGTAGTCAAATAGTTTAGATTACTTGAATAAACAGAACTTAATTAGATTGTTCCTAGGAAATTGAGTTTCCTCATGCCAATTTTCCTGATGTGCATTGCATTGCAGTGATAAGCTATAAGTTTTATGCCACTTAGTTAAGAATTGTTTTTTGACTTTTATAGGACCTTAGTATTCCCAGCAATGGAGAATGAAAATCTATCTCCTATCTTGGTTATAGAACCTAAAATAATATTTGATATTGCTCAGACACCCCTTCTGTTTCTCATTTGCTGTTGAAGTGCTTACAGCACCCAACCCTGAATCAAGTACAGATATAACTCTGTGCAAGTCTGAAGGGGCAAAGATAAGGGGGTGGGGAGTGTTATGTATGGCGTTGGCTGTCCCTTGTGATATAATGTGCTCTTACTGGCAATAAGTATACAATGCAAACTTCCACCCGAATTGTAGGAATCGCAAGGGCAGGTGATGGAAAGCTTCTTTCCGGTTGTATATGCTAAACTATGTGTGCGTTTATGAGGAACCTGGGAAAACATGGAACATAGGCACAAGATGAAATCAACATGACAACAGTAACACCACCCTTCCACCAGAAGGCTCACTGTTCAAGTGGCCTTGGAGAACATGTAGGTACACAGAGTAACAAAGATTTCTTTTAACTCCAGTGTTTTATTAAACCTATCTATCAATTTACCCATCCAGACAGACAGCCATCTGTCCTTCGTTTTCTGGTTTTATGATGTAAACTTTGCCTTTTTCTTGAAATTAAAGCTCAGGATAACTTTCAGCTTTAAAGGTCTCCTGTCAGAAAGACTATGTTCAAGTTTGGTTCTCAGACATGCATTTATATTATTGTGAACGGCAAATCCCAACTGTTAAAATCTGTGGAGTAAGACTGTTACTACCAATCTGATAGATATGTAGATAAATACATGCCCCTTTAATTAACACACACACACACACACACACACACACACACACACACACATACACCCCATACAGGCCAGGTAGCAGGTATTATGGTCATAATGTAGGGCACAGGAAACATAATTTAACTCCTAAAGATTATGTTGAAATTCTGCTTGCTTTGTAATATACTTATTCTTTACTTTTTAAAGTTGAATTCAAGCATTGGAGAGATTCATACTTTGCCTATATGCTTAACACTAGTTTTAAGCAAGATTTTAAAAACACTCCCTTCAGGTCACTGTAACTCATCTCTTGACCCCCAGCAGGTAGTAGGGAATATGGAAATATCTTCACTCCTCACATGAGCTGCTGTGACTTTAAAGGAAATCAAAGGCAGCCCTGGAATTTTTATTTTTGGTCTGCATCCTGCAGACCAAAACTTCCTCCAAAAGTTTGTCTTCCTTGAATGCCGACAGCAGCCAATACTCCTGGATCTCATTGAACTTGGCAACACAAAGAAACTCTAGTGAGCTCATTGCTTCAAGAAAAATCAAGACTTCATTATTAGTGGGTTCTATTCTTATTCCATATGACAAGGAATTGAGACTCTGACACACAATTCATTTTAGTTTTAATAATAACAACTGCCATTTGTTAAAGAAATGCCAAGGGTCAAGAATTTGATTTAGGTGTTTTATATCCACCACCCTGTTTAACTATTATTGAATATCAAGTTATTTTTTATAATTTCACATTTGCTATCATATTAACAAATCTATCTGTGAGACAGGGATTATTCTTCCCACTTTGTAGGTGAGAAAATTAAGTCTTAAATTAAGTCACTTGCCCAAGATCAAATAGTTAGCAATTTGAGTTGCAAAGATTCAAATCTCGGTCTCCCTTCCAAGTACACATTCTGAATCACTGTATTTTACAGTCACTCATGAATTCACAACTCATGTGGGTCATCTCAGACTTAACTGAGCTGCAGTAATGGATTACACCATGAAGGAGTAAAAAAAAATGAACACATGATGTTTGACCCAAGTTCTATTTGATTTCCAGCTGTAGACACCTTTCACCTTTTCAAAAAAGGTTTATAAAAGGAATTATTCATAAGGTGACCTCAAAGCCTACTTTCAGATGCAGCCTTATCTGAAACTTATCTGAAAGCCTCATCTGAGGAGGTTCTCAGATGAAGGGATTGTGGGGTGGCTAGTAGCCTTCCTCATTTCCTTCCTGTAGTATTTAAGCATCAAGGTGATAATGAAGCAGAACAGTGGTCCCCGACCCTGACTGCACAATAAATCACCCAGAGAGACTTTTTAAATGGCCAAGAGATTCTAATTTAGTTGGTCTAGGGTGAGGTCTTGACATCAATATTGTGTTTAACAAACTGAGATGCTTTAAATGAAGCCAAGTTTGAGAATAGGGGGGTGGACACAGAGAGAGGACATTGGGAACAGAACCAGGAGGAGGTAAACTCAGCCTTCAATCCAGGTCTCCAGTCCTCCATCTCTCCCCACTGAGCCTGTCTCTCTGACCTCATCCTGTTGTCAGACCATGTGATGAAGGGACCTGTAGAAATCTCCTGTGGTCAGGAGGGGACTGGGCCTGTTCTTGCATGTCATGGATGAGTCACCAACCTCCAAAAGAGTATCTTAGACCCACAGTGTCCATGTGGCCATCGACCTCAGGATGTGTCCAATTCCCTTAGCTGGGCCTTTGGTCGGCTCCCAGTCAACAACTCTGGTG